GTCTCAAACGTACAGTGGAGCCTGACCATGCAGCGCTCTGAATGTCAGCACAAGAATTTTAAAATTGATGCAAGAAGAAATTGGGAGCCAATGAAGAGCTTTTAGAATGGGGGTAATGTGAGCTCTTCTGTTGGCACGGGTCAGTATTCTAGCTACACAGTTTAGAACTTGTTGTGAACATTCTAAAAGCTCATAAAGCAAAGAAAAAAAAACTTCCAGACGACCATAGTAGTCATGTGAGATATTAGTTTTTATACATACGAACACAGGAGATGGTCTTCTTTTCCCATGCTCCATTATTGCATCTAATTGTTTCTCCTCCATTTATCATGTAATCTTTGCGGCATTCATAAGTGACAGAAGACTCGGATAAATACTCCTTCTGATAAGGTTCCTTAATAACTGCATTTGTAACGCTAGGTGGTGGCGGGCAGGGCTTACTAGCAGCTGAAAGACATGAAAACATGCAGTTATAGCAGTGTTCATAAAACAACTTCAGTTCATTTAAACTGTGATCAACAAAACTCACGTTTACAGATAGTTTCTACTTCAATTCCTACTAAATTCCATTCTCCATTTAAACAGTTCAGATGAGTGGTCTCAGTTCTGTAGCCTTCATCACAAACAATCTCTAATCTTCCAGGAGAGGTTGTTGCACGTCCATTAGGAATAACGGGAGCTTCTCCACACTGTGTTTTTACTAAAGGATGTGATTCCAAACAGTTACATGAATATTGTTAGACACCAGCAACAGCTCCCTATCCGTGCACATAATTACCAGTAAGTAGAATATAGAGATGAATTACCTATACATGGATGGAGAGCAGACCATTCACCATCAACACATGTAGCTGCATCCCACCAGCTTTTGGCAGAAAGTTTATAGTTTTCATTACACGAGTAATAAATCACGTTGTTGAAAGGGCCGACTGCAAATCCATGTTCAATAGGAGGTATTTTGCACACTACAAATACAAGAGTTCAAAAAGCAAAACCAAGAAAAATGTTTAAAAACTATCGACAGGTAAATGATTAAATCACTGATGGCCTTGGTTTTTAACTTGCTCAAGAGATGACATTAATAGTTAGGAGATATATTACTGAAGCCACCCAATAACTATCAATTTTATTTAATAATAATTTATCATTTTTATAAAGATTCTTACCAGCACACTTCTTTGCTTCAGCCCAGGTTCCTTCCTTACAGATAGCAGTGAAAAATTCTCTATTCCCACTCCTGCATCGGTATTGGACCTGGTCACCACTGATATAGTTGTATTTTGCACCATGAGTAATGTATGCATCTTGAAAATCAGGAGGTGGACATGGTGCTAAAAGCAAACAGACAAACTGGTAAAAATGATTTGTACTGAAGTCTGTCAACAATGTTTTTTTTAAACTAACAGAACAAACACAAATTTTGGTCTATCAAATCAGATTAAGGTTTATTTATTTATATAGCACCAACAACCACCTATGGGAGGCCCAAGGTGCTGACCAGCACATAAAAACAAGGATATAAACAACATAGTAGATAAAAGAGAGTAAAACTGATCAAAAATAAAAATAATAGAAAAGTACAAGTAAAAGTAACTAAAAGCCATGAAGTAGAAAAGGTAAAAATACAAAAGCCAGTGTCAACGATGTTGAGGGAAAGTTAGATAAAAGTGAGTTTTCAAGTGAGACAAACTCTTGTAGAGAAGGTGCTTGCTTCACTGCCAGAGGGAGTTCATTCCAGAGTGTAGGGGCCGTTACTGAGAAGGCCTAGCCTAGTGAACTAGACCAAATTCTTGCTTTGCAAAGTTTGGTCTAGGAATGCTCCACTGGAACCTCTGCAGCCCCTAACAGCATTCTGGCTGGCCAATCACAGCTCTCTAGAGGGATTTCAAACACACAAAGAGCTGTGATTGGTCCATAATGGGGGGCCAATCATAGTGCTCTATCTGCTTAGTGAACAAATCACAGAGCTTTATCCGCTTTGTGGGCCAATCAGGGCACTCTATATGCCTGGTGGTTGGGATGATGCAACAGAGTGAAACAAGATGGCAACAGCTCGTTTGAAACGGCTTTTACATCAATTTTGGACTATTAGAACTTGGGCTTCATTAGAATCAGGAGCAGATAGATGTATTTAAGTGTTTTTTTTTTTTTAGAAAAAATTATGTGTTTTCTCCTTCTTCAACATTTTACCGATGGCTGTTGCGGTGAGTATGTCACATTCATTGTCCAGTAGCATGCGGAGATCATTTGAAAGACAACGGTAGAACCCGCCCCACAACTGAGAGCCGTCAATTGAGTATTGCCAGACTAAATAATACATTTATTTAGTCTGGCTTGCCAGGCTAGAGAAGGCCCGGTGTTGGTACCAGATCAGCTCGGGGTCCTGCGCCTGCTGATGATGTCACATTACAGCAAATCCAGTCAGCTTTCACACTGAAGTTTTGGAAAGGCATCCGCAGTTTTGTTAATAAATTCTTGTTTGTTACCACCTAAATGTTTTCTTTATAATTGTAATTTTTTAATAAAACACCATTTTATCTTTTTTTGTAAAGAATGCGAAACTACATAAAACCAACATCAAACATTAGTTCTTATACGTGAAGTCATATCTGTTTGTATTAATGTGGAATTCGTCTGTTTATTTCCTTAGGTGTTATGTAAATACATTCATTGAAAATGTTGCTTGGTGTCTTTGCAATAAAGTTCTTGTATTTTATTTTGCCCCATATCTCCAAAATCAAGAGTTTTTGAGGTTCTCCGTTTATCAGTTGATGTCGTTGTTTTTATTTTACATTTCCTTTGGAAATTCAAACGTGTTTCTCAGTAAAGTGTTGATTTTTGGACTACAGGACTACAACCGCTAAGACAACAATTCGTTCTGACCAATCAAAATCATCATTGTCAATGTGCTAGCGTAACTTTTACGAACGAGGTATCGTAACTTCCGTCTTACGTTCAGCCAATCATCTACTGTGATGTAATTTGTTGGCGCAGGACCCGAGCCGATCTGGCTGCCCGAGCAGATCTGGTACCGACACCGGTCCCCCCTTGATCTGAGTTTAGAGCGGGGGACTTCCAGCAACTCCTGCTCAGCACGAGCGAAGAGCCCGAGTGGGAACACGCCACTGCAGCAGTTCAAGCATGATATGGGGGAGCAGTGCTCTGCAGCACCCTGAACACATGGAGGACGATCTTAAATCTTGCATGATAAAACACAGAGAGCCAGTGCAGAGAAGCTAGCACTGGCGTGATGTGGTCTCTCCTTCTGGTTCCAGTCACAAAATTGCAGCAGTGTTTTGGACTGGAGTCGTGCAGTAGTAGCTTGACTCAGTCCAGCATACAACGCATTACAGTAGTTGATGCGGGACATGATAAAAGTGTGTACTACTGTTTCCAGATGTACTCTGGACAGGAGAGGCTTTATCTTGGACAGCCGTCTAATATTAAAAAACATGCTCGAACAACCATGTTTATTTGTGCATCAAATCTAAGGGCTGCATCAATTTTCACCCCTAAATTAGTGACCACAGTCTTTTTGTATTGTTTCATGGAATCACAATCAACTTCATCACCTGCTCCAGCTCTTTCACTAGGGCTGAGTATTATAACCTCAGTTTTAGACTCATTTAGGAAGAGGAAGTTAGCAGCCATCCATGACTTAACTTCCATTAAACGGTCCAATAACACAGATACAGAGCCTTCTGCTCCCCGAGAAAAAGGCAAATAGATCTGGCAGTCGTCTGCATAAAAAATGGAACTTAACAAGGAGGAGGACCCCCAGGGGCAAGATGTATAGTGTAAACAGAAGGGGGCCAAGGACAGAGCCTTGGGGTACCCCCATCAGAGACTTTCCCAGGCCGAAGATGCTTAACCCATCCACACACAAAACCTCATTTCATCAAGATATGACCTCATCCATTGAAGCGCCATCCCTGTACTCCCCACCCAGTTGTGTAAACGATCCAGCAAGAAGTCATTGTCCACCGTATCAAAGGCAGCAGTCAAGTCCAGTAGGAATGGGGGGAGGGGGCACTGGGACCACTGGGACCAATGAGACGGGTGGTGAGTCTAGGATTGCAGCACAAATATTAGAGACTTTTTCCACAAAGTAATGAATGATTTATCTAGCCTCAGAGACAAATATAATACAAATGTTTTAAATGGCAAATGGTCTGTGTTTGTATTGCGCCTTCATAGGGTTCTACAACTCCCCAAGGTACTTCACAACACAATCAGTCATTCACACACACGCTGGGGGATGAGCTATAATGTAGCCACAGATGCCGAGGTGAGGCCTGTCCAACGCTGGCGCCACTGATCTCTTCTTATTTAATTCTCTGTATGTAGGGATTTCAGCTCCTTGGTTTTGTCAACAAATGAGTAATTTCTTTCCTGAGAACTTGGCTCACATCTCAAGAGGATGAACATCACCGTTCAACCTCCCATCAGACCGTAGCTGTTCACGAAACCCATCAATGAACAGAAAGTGCAACAGCTACTAAAATACTGGGGAATCGTCTATTTAAACCACCTTTCTGTTCTACATAACTGAGAAATGGTTGGAGAAGCACAAGATGGATGTTAGGAGATAAACTTACGATTTTATCAAGTATTTGCAAAAAACAAAACAAAAAAAAAAAACCAACAATACTGCATCAGCAGAAAAGGCCAATGGTAAACATATCTGTCCATAAAGTAGTCGGGACTGTGGCGAGATGACAAACAGCTGAGGGATCTGACAAACCAAACTGAAAACTTTGATGAAACCAGAACTCAGAACACAGACATGAACAATATTTCAAACTGCAGACATTAAAAGGGAGAAAGGCATCGACAGCAATAATAAAAGCTAAATCACATTTATAAATCACTGATAGCCTTGGTTTTTAACTAGCTCTAGAAATTACATTTTAGTTAAGAGAAATAAATAGTTTCATTACTGAAGCTACACAATTATTACAATCTGATGAAATTTCACATTTTAATGAAAAGTTTCTCACCAGCACACCTCGTTGATTCAGTCCAGGCTCCTTCCCTACAAGTAGCAGTGAACGTTTCTCCATTCCCAGTCTGGCATCTGTATTGGACCTTGTCATTTCTATTGTAGCTGTCTTTTCCACCATAAGTAATGACTGCATTTTCAAAATCAGGATGTGGACATGGTGCTGATGTTGCTAAAAGCAAAAGAGGGAAAAATAATTATTTGCACTGAATTCTGCTTGTTACATAATAAAGAACTTGGCTCAAAATGCATGCATTGCTTTTTTATAACGTAATTCTCTGTAGCTATGGATGCCTGCTCTGTGGTTTTATCAACAAATGGGGTTTATGCCTCAGAACTGTCATCACATCTCATATGGACGAAACCCGTCAATGATCGAAAAAGAAGCAGTTTGATCCAACAGCAGGTCACGTGTCTAAGAATCCTTGGGTAAGATGCTGAACACTGAAAATGACTCCCTAGGTACCATGAAATGGCAGTCCACTGATCGTCAGGGTCAATGCAGAGAAAACATTTCCCCGATGGGACCAAAGGAAAAATTGTATTTTTAATTTTGATCTCGATCAAAAACAAAAGAAATAAAAGTAACATTGATTTTTGTCTTTGAGCACCTCACCTTCTATCACCTTTTACTCAGTAAGATCTCCGGGAGCTGATCTAAATCCAAACTAAACTAATTTGTACAATTATTTTTTCATACAAGGTACAAAGATTTTATTTGTTTCAACAAAATGATCATGAAAAATATTTATTTGCATTTTCAGAAAAACAACTGAAATGTAAACTCTGCAGTACCTCGGCAAAGTGGTTTTGGTGTCCAGCCATCTCTGGTGCATGTGGCATGTTGAGCTCCATCTGTTCTCTCATAGTACCATTTACAGTCATAGTTCACAGTGTCACCTAACCCGTTTCGGCCCCAGGTGTCACGAGTGGTACCCCAAGATAAATTATCTTCTGGTAGATTACGTGAGCAAGTAACCTCTAGAACAAGAGAAACAAAAAGAAAATATAAACACACACACACACACACACACACACACACACACACACACACACACACACACACACACACACACATACACATACATACACACACACTTATATCTGAACATACATGTAAACTAGAGCTATTCTAACTCTACACCTGAATTAAAGGTGTCTAGCATGAGATTTTATTCTCATTTCTTCTCTTTAAACTTTCAACCTTCTGATTACCGGACAAATCTGTGGTGTGAGTTAACGAGAGCTGTTCGTGCTCGGAAGCAAACCTGAATGAACTAGAGATGTTTTGTAAATAAGAATGGTCCAATATACCTTCAACCAGAATCCAGACTCTCATTAGAAGCTATAGGAAACGTTTAGAGGCTTTTATTTCAGCAAAAGGAGGATCTAATAAATATTGAGTAAATTTTTTTGTAGCACCCAAATTCATGCACGTGCCAAATTTTGTTTACAAGCTTATTGCATACTTTCTGTAAATCCTATAAACTTAGTGTGACTTCTCAAATATCAGTGTGTGTGAAAAGTTTATCTTAACAACCAATGATATTGACAATTTATAAAGGAAAATCATGAAGATTAACAAGGCTGCCCAAACATTTGCATCACACACACACACACACACACACACACACACACACACACACACACACACACACACACACACACACACACACACAGTATCCTATACATACATGATGTAGGCTACACTAAAATATTCATTATGATTCACCAGAAGAAGTTGAGCATTTATTCTATAATCTGGCTCATAAGCTCATATTTTCCATACCTTTACACACGGGCCAGGTGTCCCATTCTCCATCAACTTGACATGTGACGACTGCCTCAGTAGTTTTAGTGTTTATAATCGAGTATCTCTCCCCACACGTAACTCGCACCGTTTGCCGAGGTAAAAAGACACTGTTTTGTGTACTGTAAGCTGTTCCCAGTGGTGGTGGCTGAGACAGTTCACAGGTTATCTCTAGATGAAATATGAAAATAAAAAGATTATATATTTATCTGAGTTTTTTGTCTGATAACCACGCAAACCCAAAGATCTGATCTAGCTTGTGATACATGTGTACCTTTAGTATACTTACTTTTACAAGCAGGTGTTGGTGCCCATTCTGCGTTGCCATGCTGTCCTAGTTTTTGACATTTTGGTCGAAAGTCATAAACCTTTTTAAATCCATCGTTACAACTAAAAGTCAACCATTCATCTTTATTGTACTCCTGACGATTCCCTTCTACACGGCCATTTTCAATCACAGGGGCATTACATTTGATATCTGTTGTCAAACACAAGAGGTTACCGTTTTCTGGTCAGTGAAAATGTTAGGACAGATTTAGAATTCAGTTTGTTTGCTACTGGATGAACTTCCTGTTATTTCTTATGTAGTTGTAGTGGTTTCTGATATCCTACCGTACCTTTACATTTTGGAGCTGTGCCTTGCCACTCGCCATTTTCATTGCAATGCATCACTCGTGATCCTTCCAAGACATGACTGTTGTTCCTGCAGCTAAACTGAACTACATTACCAAAAGTGGCTTCGTCTAAATCCCCCACCACCTGCATGCCATCGGGCAAAGGGATGGATGGACATCTAATGGCTGTAAAGATGAACAATGGAAGCAAACTGTTACCTCTAAAAACATGGTGGTACATGCAGTGAAGGGACAACAACAGAACAAATACAGGGGTTCAAATCCCTGCTTTTGTGTGGCAAACTCCTCAATTCCAACTCAAACCTTCACAAACAGGAACAACGCCATCCCAGCCTTCTGCCTGGCAACGACGAATGTTTGATCGACTCACCATGTGATAACTGAAAAGAATTTATCATAAGTGATCAAAATAACAAAGAAGCCACATTTACATAAACAAACAAACAAACAATCCTACCCTCTTTGACATTCATAAACAACTTGTGACCCATAGACAAAATCATCTTTCTTCTCAAGTCGAAAGTCTCCAAATGCGGCGTCGCCCGGATGTCCACACGATTTTACTTTAAATATGGAGACAGGAAAGAGTTTTGTATTATTTTCTTAATTATTATTTCTGAAAATCGTAATTGCAAAAAAACTTACTTTCACATATCGAGCCCCTGTGCACCCATCGTCCCTCAGAACAGATCAGCTTGTAAAACCCCATGAAGCCAATCTTACAGGGAACCCGTACTTGTTTTCCAGGTCCGTACGTCGCAGCCAAACCAGATGTTTCAAAATTAACATCATAGTTTGGGCTTTTTAAAAATTGTTCAAGGGTACAATCTGTGGAACAGCAACACATAAAAAGTTTTTGTTGTGCTAAAAAGGAAAACCAGAGTAGAAAAACCAACACTGATAGGATTCCTTCTGGCTTACCTTGGCATTTCACAAAGATGAACGTTTGCGTCCACAAAAGTAGCACAACACTTTTGGCTATTGTGAACATTGTTTTCTCACACCCTTGAACACCAAACAGAGAGACACGCCACATGGTCCTATACTGTTATACTGAGAAGGAGCTTTGGACGTCACGGAGGGTTGCTCAACGATTACACAACCGTAGGAAGCCTCCAATCCTAAGCTTGAAGTTAGCAGAAGTGAAAAAGCACCCACAAACATACAATTTTCATCACAAAAACAGGTACCAAAGACCATTAAAGTCAATTAAAACATGCAAACCGGCTTATGTCAGTATGAATTAAGAATGACTACAAATAGCTATTTTGCAGTTTAGTGACTGACAAAAGAGCAAACTGGAGCGAGTGTTCCTGTAAAGGTTTGTTTGTGTTGTCTTTCACTTTCTGGGTAATCATTCACAGGAATCAATTGAGCAAACAAAACAGATTGCATCATCCGAATCAGCAAAGTTTTCCTACTGAAATTAAATATAACACAAAAAGTAGCGATTTCCCCCTCCAAAATTACATTTAAACAAAGCATGTTGCTGTTCAGCTTAAAGTTAGTGAGAGAGGGCGTGATGCTGGTCACATAATCAGCTGCTTTGAGGGTGATCAACAAAGAGAACTCAGTCTGAAACACTAATGTTCATGTTGAGCTATGCAGGATTTGTAGTTTTTACTCAGTTCGGCTCTTGACACAAACGAGTTTTGGCCGATTTAAGCTTAAGCCTAATACGTTGTTTAGGATATTACAGATTTACAAGAATCCAGGGTTCTGTTCACTGTAAAGCATCTATTCTGAAAAAGAAGAACACGCTATGCATTTTCCTGTGTTATTTCCCTGACAAGTTTGATACCTTTAGAAAATTAGAAAATACGTTGTTCTCCTCTTCATGTCTAATGAAGTGAAATTGATATTGTGGAGTTTGGAAATAGAGAACAGGATGCGTCTTTGTTCCTGTTTTTGTAAAAATCCTCAGGCAAGGAACAAAGATTAAGCCTGAGCTTTGCTACAAGCAGGCCCACCACCACATCTACCACCATCACACAGATAAATGGTCATCTTTTTCGTACAAACCCGATCAGTGGACAATAGGTGGGATGCATCCTGGACATGTAGTCACATATGTCCACCAAACAGACAAGAGACAAACATCCATGTCTACAGACACTCAGAACCAGTTACAATGATTAAAGCATGAAAAGAATATGCAAATTCAGTGAAAAGCACGCACGATAATGCCTTGTATTATTTCCAGAAGATGGCACCTCTCTACAGGAGTTTGTGACTGATGTTATCAGCCATGTTTGTTTAAACCAAAGTTATGTTTGGTCTCAAGAGGTGTTAAGAGATTTCCTGCCTGACTGGGGAACGTTTATTCAGGCGATAGGTTTGTGTGTTGTTCTTGCTGTGTCGCTGCACACCACACAATGTGGGCCTAAAACTGGCATATCTGTGTTTTTTATTAGGTTTTGAAACATTTCCAACAATTTCAAAACCTCCCAAGTAAACCAGACTTAGGCCAGTTGTAAAGAAAAGCTTAGCAGTTGGCAGGCGAGTCAAGCCAAAGTCAAAGTCGTTAAGGTGAGTCTTGTAATTGTCTTTGAAAAGATTCCTCATGAAACAGAAAAAATTCTACTGGTTGAAGAAGCCAACAAACCTCATGTATCAGGGACCTTTGGGGTCAACAACCTGCAGGGAGAAGGGGCCAGACACTTTGGAAACTTGGCTTCAGGTGAGTGTGGGGGCCTAGGCATTCTGAGCTGGCTTTAGTATATACTAGTTTTATTTACTTTTCTTCCACTGCCTACTTGTTCCTGTGCAGGGTCACAAGTGGGTGGTGATTATCTCAAGTAGCCACAGTCAAGTGGCTTTTTCCTGTATTGCATTAGTCTCTCTCTCTCTCTCTCTCTCTCTCTCTCTCTCTCTCTCTCTCTCTCTCTCTCTCTCTCTCTCTGTCTCTCTGTCTCTCTGTCTCTGTCTGTCTGTCTGTCTGTCTGTCTGTGTTTATGTAAAAGCCAGTACAGTATTGTACAAATTCACAGTACCATACACTCACTGGCCACTTAATTGCGTACACCATGGTACACATGGTGGCAACTCAATGCATTTAGGCATGTTGACATGGTCACGACTAGTTCAAACAGAGCTTCAAAATGGGGAAGAAAGGTGATTTAAATTACTTTGAACATGGTGTAGAGTGATAAATTGAGTGCTATAAAGCTTAATATATTACCTTTACCTATGACCAATAAGCTGTGAAACTATATAAATATGGAATATCAACCTGCTTGGTCTTTGGATGTTTAATCAGAAGATTCTAGGATTCTTTGTTTATTCAGGGATTGTCGAACACTTCGTGTTTATTCAAGAAGAGTCAGGTTTATAAAAGTAAGAATTTATTCTCCCAACAATTAAAAACATGACAAGTTAACTAATGTTACTGTGAATGGATGGATCTAGGTAGATGGAATGTGTAATGGTATGAAATGACTGTTTTCCACCAAAAGTCATTTCCCCCCTCTCCTCTGACACAGAATTAGTCTGCATGGGATATGGCCTCAAGGTCTCATGCATTTGTTAGAACTGCTTCTTTCCAGCTCAACAGAAGAATGAAGAATGGACTCTCCTTTTAATAAATCTATTCAATTCTTTATTCAGGACAATGCACATTAATAAACAATCAAATACATTGTATCGATCGTAAATGGGCCAGATTATAGCATAGTTGCTAATTTGCATCTGTAGTCCGTCAAGATAACTAAGTAAAACAAGTGTGAGGAATACATCACCTGCCCAGCTCCGTGTGGCACACGAGCTGCTTATCCTTTGAATACCTTTGCATTATTGCTGATGAAAATTAACTGCTATTGAAATAGCTCTGCTTTCAAGATTCCCTAAGTGGATTACTTTACAATGATTGCAACAGTTTTGGCCTTAATCTTCTGATCAGGATAGACTCCCTTCTACACGTGACCTGTGGTGACGCTTCATCGTTCCTGCCTTCATCTGGGATGTCTACCTTCACGAGTACATCACGTTATTGTGGTTGTGATGTCAGGTGGCCTCTGCTTGACCTCCATGTCGTCACAAAAAGGGGGGAATGTAACGTGAGGAAATATGGGTTTTCTGTCACAATGGTGGTGTTGGACGCAGCTGGGTCATAGCTGGGTCGCTGAGAACTTTCACCCACAGATTAAGACCTGAACGCCAGCGAGTCTGGGAGGAAACCATAACATCAGCCACCTGCAGTCTACCAGAAGATGTGTTTACATGAGTTGTACCCAGACCAAGTCAAAACATAAAGTTTAAACTTCTTTTTCTTGATTTTAATGTTAGAATAACCATTATCATTTTGCTCATTATAAATGTGTTTAATCAAATGAATGGTTCTTATGCTTTGGGGTAATTATAATGGCTTAATGAATCCATAATTAGATAGTGTTGAGAATGTTTGGTACTGACCTTCACACTCAAGCACACAAACATTCACACACACCCACACACACCTTCCCACAGTAAACTCCAGACACATTTGATGACGCACATGTTTTGCTTTGAGAAGAGAGGTATCTGGTAAGTTTTCAGTTTTATGATTCAGTTCGTGTTGGACAACGAGAGAGAACAGACCTGAAAACCAAAGGGGGGGCAGAGCCTGTTGGCTCGTTCTTCCCCCCTTTCACGCTGTTTCTGCCAAGCCAGGCAGAATAGCTGAATCGCGACTTCTAACGAAGACTCATTACCGAGTCTTTTGATTTCTGAGTGAATTAACTTAAGAAAGCGCATTGATAAAACGCTCTACCATCCACGTGTACCGAGGGCAACTCTGGACTGGTTCCGTTCGACACCTACGTCTCCTGTCAGCCGCCGGTGTCATCTGGATGAACCACAACATCCTCCACGGCCCGGATCCGAAAGAGGGTCCACAAGAGTTCGGTGAGACAGAGCACGGTTTTTAGCGTTTGATGCAGTTCTCTGATAAGACCTAAGTTTATCCAAACCATCACTTCACTCAGACACCTGTTCTTCCTGAAGCAAAATCAGACTCACACACGCATTCATGTCACAACATTCTCAATCTTCATAAATTCATCAGAAGGTCTATTTGAGCCAGAACAGCATATCAACTGTTAAAAAGATTGTCCCACAAAGTTACCAATGTTGATTGTATTTCCTGTTTGTCAATTTCAAAATCATTAGTTTAATTTGATGAATTAAAACTTTTAATTGTGAAACTGGTTTCCTCATTGAACTGAAACACAGACACTCAGATATTATCGTCAGTTTATCGATGAAAACAACCTTTGAGTCTTCTGAACAATATAAAATTTGGTTATTGATTTATTAAAATTAATATTCCGAATTAATACGTAGCATGGTTTCTCTTTCATAAAAGAGCATAAATCCATAACGCTACACAAGTAACACTACACAATTTAAAAACAGTCGCAAACATGTCTGGGAACCTTTAAGATGTAGTTTGAGGTGCTTTTTAAAGGTGCTATTAGTGGGAAACTCTGATATTCGCTGGGATGTTGTTCCAAAATTGACTCCTTCTAATGTACCATTTGTCCGAACGTCGTTTTCCTGTAGGGGATCTGAAGGTCTCCTCTAGTGGAGGCTCTAGTACCATAGCCTTTGTCTGGTCTTAATGTTATGTATGCAGAAAGTGGAGGTGGAGCTAGTCCATTAGGTGCTCTGCAGATTAAACAACTATTTTTGAACATAATCAAAAATTTTAAATTAAGAATGTTGTACTTTGCCAGAACATTACAATGGTGATATGACAAAGGCTTTTGATCCAAGATTTTTATAGACTTTTTGAATAATATTTCTATTGGTTTTAAAAGAGTGTCCCCAGTGAATGACCAGTTTGTGATGCAGTAGTCTATATGAGAGAAAATAATGGAGTGCAAAAACTTAGCTGAAATTGTAGTCATTGAAGATCTAATTTGTTTAAAGTTATTTATATTGAATTTAATTGTGTTCACTGTATGTTGAATATGTTTTTAAAGGATAGTGTCGGATCCAGGGTGATTCCAAGGTACTCTATCTCTTGCACCAGGTCAAGCTCTACCTCCCCCAAGAACACGTTGGACTGCTCCAGATTTATGGATTTTTTTGTGAATATCATTGCAACTGTTTTTTTATTCAGTAACAGGCATGACTGATGGAGCCAAAGCTGTATGTTCTCCAAGGCTAATGTGAGAATAGATGATGCTTCCTGTGTACGTTTAGCAGGTGTAAAAATAACCGCATCATCCGCATACATTTGGAAGTGTATATTTTTACACACATT